TGTGGGCCGAAGCTGTCGGTGGTTCCTTCGCGCGCGCCGTTGTTCGAGTAGTGTGGTTAACTTGCGATCTCTGGGTGTGGTGTGGGCGGGTGCTGTTCGCAGCCAATCTCTTGGGCGGGTGCGGCTGGCTGTGTTGGATTGTGCGGTACCTTGCCGTTGGAGATGGCCTACGCAGGGAAGTTCACCTGCAATCCAAACAGCCGGACTTCGCGGCGTCTCGGCAGCTGATGACACGTTCCACAATTGTTCGACGTTCTTTTGGTAGGCTGTCCGGCGTGACGTGCGTACGTGCGCCTCGGCCATCGCTCCTTGCGGCTGCTCGTCACACCCGCTACCTGGTTGATCYTGCCAGTAGTCATATGCTTGTCTCAAAGACTAAGCCATGCACGTCTGAGTGTGAACACTTTGCGCTGTGAAACTGCGAATGGCTGCACTATGTTGCACTGTGAAATTGCGAATGGCGAAACTGCGACGAAGCGAATTGCGCTAATTTTGGCGAGGTGCGCTAATTTTGCTTTCACGATCGGAGACCTGAGCAACCGGTCCCTTGGGCGAATCTGCGACCTGGTGGCGGGTGGACGTGGGACGGCGGCGTTCGGAATTTTGCGAAGTTTTAGTCGCGCGGCGATTTGCCGCGCGATTTTTTCGGTCGTTGAATTTTCGAACTGTTGCGTGCACCTCCTCGCGCCAGCTAGGGTTTCACGATTTTCTCGCCTGTACTGGGGTTTTACCGCCCCCGTTGACGTGACATGTACCACGTCGGCTATGTCACTCTCGTGGATGCAGGTCAGGTCATGGCGAGAAGTTTGTGTGTAAGGCGCCTGGGTTTCTGTGCCCGACTGCCATGGCAACGCCAGGTTGGGGGAGGCGGGAGTATGGTAGAACACAGTTCGGAGAGTGAGGAGGGAGTGTGCAAGGAAGGAGGTCGTGCAGGTGGGTGGGCGTGGAGCTTTCTTCGCGCTCAGAGACCTGGCCTGCGGAACAAAAGGCGACGGGGGTAACTAGTCTACTTGTGTGAGTCATCTTGCTGACTAGCCGACCCCGGCAATGGGGAGTCCCGCGGTTATTGTTCCGCTTTTGGAGTGCGGGTGCGGCTTACGAAGAGGGGACGGGAGACGAGTTTGGGTGGGGGGTGTTACGAATTGGTTTTCTTTTTTTGCGACTTTCTTTTCGTCACATTGGTGTTGGGTGAACGAGATGGAAGAACACCGGGAGGGGTTGATGCAGATGATCCGTCGGGCTTTCCTTTTAGGGCTCCAGCTCCGACCCCCAGATCTGCTATCCTTTACCATCGAAGGGGGRACGGCAGTCGCGYGACTGGCCTCTGATTTGGGGTATTTACTGATGACRTACGYGMGGGCTCATGCAGTAGTGCTCAAGCTCCCAGAAGTAGTGGYSCCCTGGTYACGACGTATGAAGAAGGCATAGATGACGGCGCGCGAAGACCTGTGGTTAATGGGTAGGGGTCCGTGGAAGGGGATGATTGACATAGAGGGCTCGCGGACGATCATCTATATGGCGCCCTCCAGGGAGGTGAGGGACTGGCTTATACATGAACGGAAGGTTGAGTCTATATTGGTGGGAGATGTTGGTCATGAAGTACAACTGGTCCCATGGCGAACGCCTGCGGAAATGGAGTTTCAGCGGGAGAAGGAGAAACGACAGCGGCCATGGGTCAAAGTGTTCAGCCCCCCCTCCTTTTTGGTCCCTCTCGAAGAACAGATGGTGCAACAACTTTTTGGCGAGATTGTTTCCATAGCCCTCTTCTGTGAAGAAGAAAGGGAATATCGAAGGTATGTGGTTAGGGGCCCACTGAAGATGCGCCAGGTTGAGAGGGTAGCTGTGGCTTTTGGGCCTACGACTACGCAGGAGTTTCGCTTTATTACGAGCGAAACTCCATTTTGCGATGTCTGTTTTACGCATGGGCATTTGAGACGGGAAGGCCGATACTTTTCCAGGGCGGAATCAGCCAGAGAGCTGCAGGAGAAGGAGATACGCCAGCGAATGGACCCCATTTTAGCGTCAAATGTGGAAGAGGAAAGGCGAGCCTGGAGGGAGATCGAGCAGCGATACGATGAGGTGGTGCTGAAGGAGTTGCATGCGGCGCACTGGCACGTGGGGGGCCCCGAAGTAGCAGAGGGCTATCGCAGGCGACAGGACTCGAAACCCCATGGTCGACATATCCGGCCGCCCAGGGGGACGGGCGGAGGTAGGCGCAGGGACCCCCCTAGGCACACGGACCCCCCAGTGGAGGTGCATGACCGCATGGAGATTGACCCCCCTGTGTGGCTCTTTGGTGATATGCACCGGAAACGTAAGGAGTGGCAGGAGGACACTACCAAGGGGACCGGGGTTGAGGTGGGGATTGAGAAGCGGCAGTGTGGTCCTAGCATGCAGCCGGCTTCGGCAACTCCGAGGACTGCGGCCACAGATGCGCAGGTTGACGACCACGTGCAACCGGCTGAAGTAGGGAATGGGTGGGGGGGAGGGGGGGACGACCTGGTCGATAAAGAGGTCTTTGTCCAAGAGCGAGGCTCACGGGTTGAAGGCTCCAACGAGCCATTGATCTCGGTCGATGCACAGGTACAGGGGACGGAGAGTAAGGTGGAGGGAACTGAGCAACAACGGGTGACCAAGCCGACAACTCTTGTGGAACAGGAGTGTAGGGCCCACGAACAGGAGGCTGTGGGGCCCCACGGGMAGCCGACCCCGACTGACGCCCAAGTACAGGGGATGGGGAGTRAGGTGGCGGGGACTGAACAGCAACAGGTGCATCCACCAGGGATGGGGCGTGAAGAGGAGGGGGCTGCGAAGCACACATTGGTTACCCCCCCGGAGGAGYGGGGACGGTGGGCGGGCGTAGTAAAGGAAAAGGTAAACTCTGAAGTGGAGTGTCGTCGGGAAGGGAAAGCGTGCGTGCCCGAACTGGATAGGGAGTGGGGGCGGGGGGAGATGAGTGGAGGACGGGCGGATGAGGCCTAGTCACCGTCCCCCCCCCCGGAGGAAGAAGCAGGTAAGGTGGAGGAGGGGGCTGCGAAGCACACATCAGTTACCCCCCCGGAGGAGCGGGGACGGTGGGCGGGCGTAGTAAAGGAAAAGGTAAACTCTGAAATGGAGTGTCGCTGGGAAGGGAAAGCGTGCGTGCCCGAACTGGATAGGGAGTGGGGGCAGGGGGAGACGAGTGGAGGACGGGCGGATGAGGCCCAGTCACCGCCCCCCCCCGTGGAGGAGGAAGCAGGTAAGGTGGAGATATTGGAGGGGAAGGGGGAAGACAGTCAGGGAAGACTTGATGGGCAGGCACCTCGGATTTCGGGGGGGGAGACAGGGCAAACCAAGGAGGTGCTGCGTGAGCTTGGGGGGGAATGTAATCAGAAGGGGCAGGTGGGGCTGGATGAGATCAGTCCAGGGAAAGTGCYGGAGGACATTAATGAGGCCAATGGATGGTCGAATGAGGAGGTAGTGGAATCTTCGGGAAGGATGGATGAAGAGGGAGGGGGGGGGAATAGAAAGGAAAGCACGCCAGGGGGGAAGGTCGGGGAGAGTGAGGTGCTCCCAGGGGGAGGGCARGCACGGGGAGAAGACAAGCAAGTGATGCTCGACTATGTGCGGGCCAGCATATTAGACAGGAAGGTCGGGGAGGAGGAGACGGTGGGGGGGAACAGCAAGGAACGCACGCCAGGAGGAAAGATCGGGGAGAGTGAGGCGCTTCAAGCGGGAGGGCAGGAACGGGGAAGGACGGGAGAGAGTGGTGGAAAGGAGGAGGTGGGTGGGGAAGGAAGGGGGGAAAAGGATGGGTCGGGGGATGGATCGAGGAATGGAGAACCACCTCTGGGGCAGCAGCAGGAATGCTGGCT